GTGATACAGAGCAGTTTCGTTTTTGGTTTGGCTCTCAAAATTGTTTCGTCAAATGCAAGCTTTAGCTTCAAAGGCTGTTAGAGATGGATTTGAATTGACGGATGTTAACACAGGTGGGATTTGGAAAAAAATAATATAAATTTAACTGTAAAATTTTAAGTTTGATGTTAATATTAAATAATTTAAACTTCAGCTGTTTTGAGTATCTAGTATATTTTACGTATAAACAATTATGCCACATTATTTATTATGCAATATTTAGAATGAATGCAGTAATTTGTGTTCGAAACTTGCATATTGTATCTAAAACTGATGTGCATTCCTAATTTCTTTTCTTGAAAATGGATGAATTAATGGCTAGAATGCATTTAAAATTGTAGCGATTTCAAATGTCTATTCAGTGTGAATATTTCGGTAAACATACGAGATGCAAAAAAATATATATTTTAAATAAATACAAATGCTGTACAATTAAGAAAACTAAACTCTGGAATAGAAATGTAGGTAGCTAATTTGTATGGTTACTTTTTGAAACCTATTTTAGAATAAGTTCAGAAAAATCAAAGCAAATGAGCAACACTTCCGGCATCTTCCCAGGTGAAGAACGAAAAGTTCAGTACCTGCCGTTAAAAAAAAAGAACTTTTTGATAATTTATCCATATTGCAACAACTAATGAAATTTCTGGGCCTGGTCGGTAGGGCGCTGGTCCCATGTCCGAGAGTTCGTGGGTTCAAATCCCGCCGGCCGAAGACTCTACGTGTAGTAAAGTGACTGATGCACATTAAATCTGTCGAGTCGCAAAATTCTCCATATTCCCATAACAAATCAATTCCTCTGGGGGTATTGGAGACTATCAAGAACCTCTGGGCCGAGTTGGACCGCCTGATTAAGGAGTGTACTACCCGTCCAAAATCGGTGAAGGAACTTGCATGTCTGGTCCAAGCCGAGTGGAAGAAAATACCACTAGCCGTCGCACTTGTGGAAAGTATACCCCCGCGAATGTTCACGCGGCAATTGTCTCTCGTGGAGGCTCTACCGTCTATTGATTATGAATAAAGTTTGTTTGTCTTTTCAATCTATAATATCATCTGCATAAATACACTATCTACCAATAAGTATTTGGACACGTGTGATTGAAATGTAAGTTCCAATCACACATGTCCAAATTCCAAATTTTCAATCACACGCGTCCAAATACTTATTGGTAGATAGTGTATTTTGTACAGTATCGAGACTTTCCATCTTTTTATTGTTTTTAAGGCAGCTTACGACAGTATCAAGAGAAATAAGTTGCTTGAAGCAATGGAGGAATTTGGTTATTAACTTGACAAAGGCTACACGCAGAAGAGTCAATTGCAGAGTTAAGTTGCGAAACGAACTCTCCGAGCCCTTCTACGCTGATAGAGGCCTGAGGCAAGGAGATACAATTGCCTGCCTTCTATTTAATATCCCACTTGAAAAAGTAGTCAGAGCATCTGGAATCAATGTTAGAGGCACTATTTTTCAAGGATCTACACAAGTTCTTGCTTATGCAGATGATCTTGATAATATAGAAAGATCTAGACAATCAGTAGTGGAAAACTTCAAATCTCTTGAAGTAGCAGCTATTGAAATGGGATTAGCCATTTATGCTGACAAAACTAAACATATGGAAATAGACAGAGGACTCAAAGGCAACGCCCTTGCATGTGAATGATTATGAATTTGAAACTCTTTATGAATTTAAATATCTTGGGACTATTGTAATCTGTAAAAATGACATAAAAACAGAAATCGATACCTGTTTAGCAATGGCTAACAAGTGCTACTTTGGTTTAAGAAGCCTACTAAAAAGTAAATTTCTTAAAACAAAAGATTAAAAAATTTTATATACAAAACACTCCTACGGCCTGTGATCCTATATAGTAGTGAGTGCTGTAGTCTTAATAAAAAAGAGAACAAATTGCTGATTTTTGAGAGAGGGAGAGGGATATATGGAAGAATTTGTGGTGCAGTCTATGAGAATAACAAATGGCGCACCCATTACAATCATGAGTTATATAAACAACTAGACATAGTTCATGCTATTAAGGCCAATCGCATTCGATGGCTGGGACACCTTTATAGATCTGAAGACCGAAACACCGCAATAAAGAAACTTTTTTTTAGACCAGAAGGCACAAGAAAAAGCGGTCGTCCACCGACTAGGTAGCTGGACGCAGCTGAGAGGGACCTAAAGATAATAGGAATAACTAACTGGAAGGCCATGGCACAGAATTGATCAAGATGACAAAAACTTATTCGGACTGCCATGGCCTGTCATTGGCTGTAGTGCCCAAGAAGAAGAAGAATTTATATTTTGTAATATAAATATTTTCTATTGTGGCGACATCTATTGAATAACAAGTGAAGCAAAATATCAAGCAAAATATTTATTATTTTTATTTTGTAATATTAATACATTCTATTGTGGCGACATCTATTGAATAACAAAAGAAGCAAGATATCAAGAAAAAAATATTTATATTTCGCAATATTAATATTTTCTATTGTGGCGACATATAAAGAAAAAATATTTATTATTTATATTACGTTATTATATATTTTCTATTGTGGCGACATCTATTGAATAAAAAAGGAAGCAAAATATCAAGTAAAAATATTTATTATTTATATTTCATAATATTAATATTTTCTATTGTGGTGACATCTACTGAATAACAAAGGAAGCAAATAAATATCGAGAAAAATATTTATTATTTATTTTTTGCATATATTTTGCTGTATTTTGTATATTATTGAGACTTTCCTTTTTTTTATTGACTTTAAGGCAGCATACGACAGTATCAAGAGAAATAAGTTGTATGAAGCAATGGAGGAATTTGGTATTCCCCTGACTCTTATTAACTTGACAAATGCAACACTCAGAAGAGTCAAGTGCAGAGTTATGTTGCTAAATGAACTTTCCGAGCCCTTCTACACTGATAGTGACCTGAGGCAGGGAGATGCACTTGTCTGCCTTCTATTTAATATTGCACTTGAAAAAGTAATCAGATCTTCTGGAATCAATGTACGAAGCACTATTTTTCAAAGATCTACACAAATTCTTGTTTATGCAGATGATCTTGATATTAAAGTAAGATCCAGACCAGTGGTTCCTGAACTTTTTTTTGTCTCGCATGTACCTTGACATGTGTTTTCATTTTGGATAGACCCCCTGCTTTCCTGATATTGATTTTTTTTTTGTAAATTCATCAAATTTAATTGTATTTTTGATAACTGGTATAGTAGTGCTACTCACTGTGAAAGATTTAAATTTCGAACTATAGTGAAGTGTATTGTGAAAAAAAACACATGTTAATTTTATGCATTTATTAATTAAATTCAAACTAATTTAAATAATATGTAAATGGAGTAAAATAATTTCACTATAAAACCCGTACTCGAGTACGGGTTTATATAATATTAGTAGCGGGTACGAGTACAATTATAATATTAGTAGCGGATCCGCTACTAATATTATAATTGCGGAAATAAATTTGTATACAAAACCGTAGTAGTTTATTGTCGGTCTGTTTATTACGTTTTCACTTAACTATGTAACAAATCTCCGTGATCTTGTGCGCACATAAAGTTGGAAGTCTAGCTAGCTAAACTTAAATTTTAATGAAATTTTTACTTCATAGCTACTTTTATAAATTATGTAGAATGTAGATAGATGTAGGTCTTTATATTATATGGTAGTATAATGTAAGTAAGTAGGTACTATCATTGTATGTTGATTATAATATTCATGGAATGCCAAAATTAAAAGTCGCGTCCTGCTCATATGAGATCCATTATAGTTGACCTCCATTTTCATTTCATGAACTCCCAATTTTTTTCTCTCTTGACATGGACCACTTGCAGGTTGTCGTCGACCCCTGGGGGTCGATATACACCACTTTGGGTCCACAGGTCTATAATCTTAATCAGCAACGTACTACGATTGGTACGAATAAATTATCCATCCGAACATGCGCATTTGAAAGATACAACACACAAATGCTAAAAATGCCAATCAAGTAAACCTGAGAAAACGATTAAAATTAAGACGATAATGACGTCAACCAATCAGATTAGTCTATTTACTAAAATGTCGGACATCCAAGCAATAGCCTTTAACTTCAAAAAATATTTTCTTAAGAAGGTTATTTATGTACGTCTTGCCTGTTTGATGATACTGTAGGGTATCTACCACTACAAATATAGAAATCCAATTCACTAGTATGAAAGACATGTTAACCGATTCTATGATGGAGTACCTTTTCATAAATGAAGGTTGACATGGTCGAAAGCTGCTATCCCCACATTGGTGATCTTCGGATGTGATGTGAGCACGCCTATCTTGACAGTAACGCCCACTTCGATCTTGAAACGCCTACTTCGATGGATGGTCCACACTGAACATTTGACTTGCTTCTTGTGACTGCGACGTTGTCCACCTCCTCACTCTGTTGCTACTCAGTCTCGTCTCGATCACGCACAACGTCGGCTTGCTTACACTCGACTGCTAACGGCAATACAGGAGCGACTCCCTTATGAAAATTTAAGGTATATTTAAGGTTGATTTGAGGTAATTTTGAGGTGGGTATATGANGTGATCTTAATACAGCTCTCCCGGCTTCTCACAAAACAGCAATGAATCAGCTAGTGGTATCCGTACATTGAATTCTATCACAGATATAATTCTGGTAGGGGAGTACTGTAGGGTATCTACCACTACAAATCCAATTCACTAATATATAAGACATGTTAACTCGATTCTATGGCGGGGTACCTTTCCATAGATGAGGGTTGACATTGCTACTACATAACATTGCATAACTACGACATTGCATAACTACTGATCCCCACAATACCCTTTTTTTGTCACTGAATACAGTTCACGCACTTCCGATCGCAGTCAAAGGAGAATGAGAACCTAATTGGATAAAAAATATTTTCTTCCGAAAATTTCACCAATCAAGTTCCCCATTTTTCTCAGCAGTGTTTCGAAGAGAATGGCCTTAACGCTTTTAGATTTCAACGAAAGGTTACAAACGGAGAAAGACATCCAAGATAAGAAGTAAATAGTAGAACAAAACAGATGTCAATCTTCAACATGAAGTTCTAGTTTTGAAATTTTTATAAGATCGCAAATATTTCTTTACAGTATTATATTCATTAAATGTGTATCAATCAAACTATGTTTCATTTTGGAAAATTTTAACGTTTTATTGATATTGATGTAAATAAAGATCATGTGCAAACATTCTATCCATGCATGAAATATATGAGGTAAGGTAACGGAGCGTAATGTAATTAATTTTTTTTTTTTTTCCTGAAATATATGATTCCAAATTGTGACATAATATAAGAAAAATGGTTTGCAACAACATTGTTATTTGACGCAGCAGATTCTAAATGAAATTTTTAATTGTAGGAAGTTTCTAAGACTTGGCGATTATTCTGTCGCAGATCACGATGCAGAAATCTCCCCTTAATCATTAATAAAGGCATTGATGATATATGTAGCCTGTCTACCACTACAATTATTCAATTCACTAGTATATGAGACATGTTAACTCAAATCTATTGAGGTAGATGAAGAGTGATAATGACCTTTTATAGATAAAGGTTGACATTGTTGATAGCACAGTTCCTACATTGGTGACCTTCAGGCGTGATCTGACCTCGCCTACCTTGGCAGAAACATCCACTTCGATTTGAACATGCCTAACTTCGATTGATGGTCCACATTGAACAGTTGGCTTGTGACTGTGACATTGTCCTCCTCCTCCCGCTGTTGCTACTCAGTCTTGATTACACACAACGTTGGCCTGTGTACACTCGACTGCTAATGTCAACACAGGAGTGACCACGAACGTGAACTTAATGCAGCTCTCTGAACCAGCATTAATAAGTCTGGTGATCTTAATACAGCTATCCAGGCTTCTCACAAAAAAAGCAATGAAAAGTGTATGTTATCCTTTCATCGAATTCCATCACAGATATAATTATGGTGGGGAAGTTCAGTATCGTCTCTACCACTACAAATATTCAATTTACTAGTACTATGTAAGACATGTTAACTCGAATTTATCAGGGTACCTTTTCATAGATAAAGGTTGATAATGCCACTCCCCTTATATATTTATTTGATGTAATCTATTCTAAAGAATCTTCAGAAATTATTTTCTGAATTGCAATTAAATTTTATTTAAATTTACTGTATCTGGACACACCAATGTTTCAGAACCCTACATTAAAGTGTCTTACTTTAAAGGCCTTATTTTTAATTTTATCTAAAGTAAAACACTCATTGGAAGTCTGTCATCATAATGTACTAATATGGAGATCAATGCTATTTATGTGTTCTCAAAATAATTTTAAAACTTCAACTTTGCCTATTTAAACATACCGTAATAAAACCTTGCAGGAATAACATAATGTAACAACAGAAACCAAATAATCGAGAGAGCTTTTGCATTATGGCAGACACTAATTATAAGCTTCACTGCGCATACACTAATATTATTACACTTAAAAAATACTTTAAATGCAGCTTTTGCATTACTAAAGCTTTACATTTTAATGTGTTGTGTGCCATTCGTTTTGGTTTCTGAAAGTTTTTTCATTATAATTTTTAAGATAATTTGTTGCTTTGATTGCCAAAATAAAAAAACTACGCATTGATTAGGATTGGGAGCATTAAAAACTTAAACTGCGCAACTTCAAATTTTCGATTTTTATTCACAAATTAAAACAATTTAAATATTTTTTTATTTTGTTCAGATCTGCCGCACATCAAGAGTTGGTTGGCCTCAGATTGTGCATCGCTAATTCACATCATTGACCCGTTGATAGTTACGAACAAGTTTGACTCGCAATCTAATCGTGCTTCATAATGCTCGCAAACGAGTTCCGCTCGGGAGTAAGATTTCGTCCGAAATGGTTAGAAATGAGCACTACTCGCATAGTGATCGCCATTATTATTCTGCATTGATTATGTTGCAATCGAATCCTACTGACGAAATGTAGTTAGTTTTACTGTCTACAGATGGCAGTACAGGTTCCATGAATTTCTTTTCATAATGAGGGGGGAATAATTTTTATTACCTTGTTCTTTTTATGCGTATTTTGGTACGTTTTTTAGGGGGTTTGTACAGAAAACTGGATCAAAAGCAAAAGTTAGATAATTATGATGATGATTATGATTGTTAAAGATTTTTAGGTAATAACTGTAATTTTTTTATAGCGTGTACAAAAAGATTTTTATTTTATTACTCTATTTAAATGCTTCATGAANAATACATGTATATAGTTGCAAAATCAATAGCAATCATTTACAACATTCATTTATAAAGGCAATTATGTGAAAATAATATATTGTCCGCTATATGCCATAAATGAAAGAAAACAGTAGGTTTTTGCCGGTAAAAACACGGTTTTTACCACTGTCATGTCAAAAACCAGTTTTTGACGGCAAAAACCCAACCCTGATTAGGATTGGGAGCATTAAAAACTTAAACTGCGCAACTGCAAATTTTTGATTTTTATTCACAAATTAAAACAATTTAAATATTTTTTTATTTTGTTCAGATCTGCCGCACATCAAGAGTTGGTTGGCCTCAGATTGTGCATCGCTAATTCACATCATTGACCCGTTGATAGTTACGAACAAGTTTGACTCGCAATCTAATCGTGCTTCATAATGCTCGCAAACGAGTTCCGCTCGGGAGTAAGATTTCGTCCGAAATGGTTAGAAATGAGCACTACTCGCATAGTGATCGCCATTATTATTCTGCATTGATTATGTTGCAATCGAATCCTACTGACGAAATGTAGTTAGTTTTACTGTCTACAGATGGCAGTACAGGTTCCATGAATTTCTTTTCATAATGAGGGGGGAATAATTTTTATTACCTTGTTCTTTTTATGCATATTTTGGTACGTTTTTTAGGGGGTTTGTACAGAAAACTGGATCAAAAGCAAAAGTTAGATAATTATGATGATGATTATGATTGTTAAAGATTTTTAGGTAATAACTGTAATTTTTTTATAGCGTGTACAAAAAGATTTTTATTTTATTACTCTATCTAAATGCTTCATAAAGTTTTACATTAGTTGTATTTATTTAGTCCTTTCAATTTAATATTTGTCTTATATTTATAATTAACTATTATTATTTATATAATTGATTATAATCATTTATAATTTACAATTTAGTAATTATTTTAAAGTATGTAAATTGATGATTGTAACTGTTATTTATGTACTACAAATACTTTAAAAAATGTTAAAACACATGAGGCATCGCCAGAAAAGGGTGACATTTTCGGAAAAACGACGGGGGGAAACAGCTGCCACTTTCGACTACTGTTTACTCGTAATACTGCACGAATTAAGTGAATGAAAACTGCTCATTTCCCTAACAATCAAAGGGTTAATTAAATTGATTTTTTTTTTAATCGAGTGATTGAAATTGTGATTTTGTTGATAAATATCCTGTTTAATATGACTAAAATTTTATAGGTTTGAAGAGACTTTAAATGATGCCAGCTGATACTGGTGATGTTGAATGTGTGGATGGATGTATATGTGTTCCCTTAGTGGAAACTTCTCTTTATAAGGAAGGTGACTCTTGTGATAAATCAACATTTGATTCTTATTGCCAAAAAAATATATGTTTTGATTCAGAAGTATTTGGTGGCCGATATATTAGGAAATCTAAGTCAGAAGGTTTGTCATATTTCACTTGTTTCTCTAAAATGTTTTTTTTTTAACATATGCATACCTGCCAAGTCTCCAGTTTTACGACGAAAACTCCTGTATTTTACGACTGCCTCCTGTTTACCCGTATAGTCAAATTTCTCTGTGAAAGAAATTTTAAAAAGAATTTTTGACGATAAAATATCCACTAATACTTCTCTTGTTCCTCAATAGATGGTGCTCTTGCCAGTACTGCAGTATGTTGAGTGTTTTTAGTTTAAGTAATTATAAATAATGGTTTAAAAAAATTTTCTTTAGTCTAAGGTTTATATACATATTTTTTACGTCGCTAATGTAAGTGCTTATATTATTTCCAATTTTGATTTTCATGATTATGCATGACGTATCAAAACTTTATGCCAAAAAAATTTCGCTAGTAAAATCTCTTTTATTTTATTTCTCCAATGTTGGCTATGCATATGGTTTCATTGAGAAATCAATCCATGTATTTCAGGCAATATATTTAAGAGCGAGAATAGGAATACAATAAGAATGCATAACAATATGCGAACAATAAACGAGAACAGTGAAAATTATCATGAACTACTGTAAAAAGTGTCAGGAACGAAAGTCCTACACAGAATTCCTGCATCCCAATATAACTTGAGAATATCGCCGTTACTTTGAGATTCTTTATCGAGTCATTCATTTTACCTGCTTTGCAGATTGGACATTCATTTGTTTGAGTCAGAAATTTGCAGTGGATTCAATTCAGGATGTATGACTATAGTTTTCCCAACTCTCTTGGATCTTTACCCAGCATTTTTCTTTGGATAGTAATTCTTGCCGTGTGCTGTATTAATTTAATTGTAAAGAACCTGTAGAGAGTGGCAAAGTTAGCTGTTCTTCCTTTGTACAAATCTTACTTTTTCCTTCTCTAAATTTTTTTTCTTGTCTTCTTTTTTTTTTTTTCCTAAAATAAAATTTTGAAACATATATAATATTTTGGCAACCAAATAACACTTAGAACCATGTAGCGTGCCTTGTTTTATCAGTCCTGATGACATCCTGCCTTGTGATAATTAATGATGTGCTAATACAGATTACTGTAGACTATTGTGTTAAATACAGATGACCACTGAGTCTTCTTTAACATTTCTTCAAAAAAAAACCTTTTTTGGAGGAAGGAAATTGCCTTTAATGCTCTTCCACTATGTTCTAAGGAAAAAATTTTACACTAAGTTATGAATTAAGCATTTCAATAAGATATCCTTTAGTAAAATTCTGATATTGTATTACATAGATTAGAATTTTTTTTTTAAAAATGAATTTATGATGAAATCCAATAAATTTTCTTTTTTTTTAAATTTA